CATGGCCTCACATGTCTTCAAACATTAAGGTGGAGAGAGAGCCGTGCACCAGAGTAGGACAAGACAACTAAACAATAAGGCTGGAGATAGAGCAGTAAAGACAAGTGAGAAACTGCCCCCATTCAAAACACTACTTCGCTTTTCAGGAGCCATATGAATTTACCTGTGGCTCCTTATTCTCTGCAGCGTTTCACATTTCCAAGGTACGAGGAAATTTGCTCCAACTTCAAATAACTATACATTCAATGCAAATAGGTGCAATGTCTCCCCATTCTGGAAAATAATATAGGCATTCAAGTTCCTTGGGTTTATCCTCACTTCTGAAAAGGAAAGTCCTAATAACATATTAAACTTTTGTCCAAACTTGGCTATTTTTGGGGTATCCCATCAATATTCCTGCCATATTCCTTTTCCAGGGCAAATCAGCATGCTCTATATGTATATACATATATGCTTATCAGCATGCTCTATATGTATATATCCTGCTGTATGTTGGTTGGGCTAACCTGACTCAAGAGGAACTACACTGATACTCAATATAGCCAAAAACAGACTCCTTTTTAATGTATGGGATCCTAGAAAGCCTACATTTGGCTAAGGCAACATAGCCATGAGTATATTCCCCCTAGAAGCAATCACTATCCCTGATTGTTAAGAAAGGCACGCAGCAAAAATGGTCCTAGCTGAGTGCTAGAGAGGGGGTTTTTTGGAGTGCCCATGGGTGTTTTCTTGTCTTTTCTTTTTTTCCTGCAAGTGAGAAAAAACTTAAAGGAACACAGACAAACCAGAGAAACCAAATCCTATTAGTACACTTGATGCAATCACATCCCACCTCACTGTGCAAATCTCTGGAGACAAACTGCACCCAACAATACAGAGCCTCCCTTCAGGGTGGATGGCAGGGTATATACAGACATGAAGTTTTCAAGTTTTTTCTCCCTTTGAAAAGCCCTTAAGCTTGGACTCCAAGTGGACTCAAGAAAAAGAAATGTGAATACCACGATTCTTGTTTCCAAAGCTCATTCACAATTATACTCTGTCCACTAAGAGCTCCTGAGAGGAGAAAGTGCTATCACTGGAATGCCATCATGAGATGGCTGTACAATGCTTGGGTGCCAGAACTGAACAGAATAGGCCACATGGAATTGGCCCCCATTCACACCAAGTAAGATTTTGAAATAAACAGCTGTGGGGTTTTTCTTTTTTTTTTCTTTTTTTTTTTTTTTTAAACTAGGCACACACACAAACCTGTCTTCAGCTGCTAACCTTAATATATTACTCATTCTTCCTTTCAAATAATGTCATTATCAAAACCCCAGTGACTGCAGAATATTTACTTGAGGCTGCTACTGCTGGTTTCTCCAGAGCTGTTTATTTTTCCATGCATGCACTCATTACATCACTCTGTGGTTTTCTTAAAGGTTGTCACGGTAAGCTGGATACGGGCTGGAAATTCTTGCTAACTAAAACCAAATCACTAAGTAGCACAAATGATTTGGAGATAACCCAACTCCAGAAGTGAGGAAAACCCCTGGATTCCTCAGTGGAGATGGGGTGCTCCTAAACAAGCAGTCATTACATTTCTTGAAAGTGGGAAACATTATCAAGTGTTTTCCTAGATTAAGAACTGTAAAAAAAAGAATTTGGACTATTGCAGTCTGGAATGGGGGGAAGGGGAGGGTTGAAACAGTAAAAGCAGAATGAAAAGAATGAAAAGACAGTTCCCAGCCTACTGAGAAAGGCATCTAGTTGTCATTTAATTCTTTAAAGTGGGCTGGGGTAATAGCACTAGCAATCCCTCCTAGCAATGCGGTTTTAGTGAGAGTAGAAAAACTCACTGGACACATACAGATTCTCAGTCAAGTGCTCTAAGAATCACCAGGCTAGAGTCATCCTCCTTTTTCCAATCCCTAGCTTAATTAGGATTTACACATGCCAAGCAAAATGTAAATGCTCCAAAAAAAAAGATCAGTTTCAGGAGAATCTCTTCTGTTTGTCAGCACTAAACAGAAGGTGGAACACTCAGATTTCAAATGCAGTTCTTGAGATACAGGCTGCATATGCAACATGGGGTATTTATCAGCTCTGCAATGCTCAGCTGCCTCGTGAGTGGTTCACCTAACATTGACCAGAGACAATGAGAGCAAACTAAAGAGTCTATTTGACTCCATACAGTAGTTCTTAAATTCTCCTCATGGTTGATATAGTGACGGTGCTTGCTTTCCAAGCTGTCCAATATCAGTGCTAATTAGAGAGCAGAACAGGTCCTCTGACAGTAGTATCTGGACTTCTCTTCACTGCAAAGGACAGTGCTATTTAACTAGGGCAGGGAGGAGTTACATCAGGGTTAAGCATTTCACTACACGAACTCCAAGAAAGAGAAGCAAAAGTTAGGCTGAATATTACAAAAAGACAAAAACCTGAAATTGAGTTCAGAGAACAGAGCAGCTTCCTGTGGGAAGAAGTAAAATCTTTTATTATCTAAGGCTACACTTAATTTATGCTACACTAGAAAATAGTGCTCTTTGTACAGTATAACATTCATTAGCCCTAGGGCAGTAGATTAGATGACCTACTAGGTCTTTTCTCACCTCCAGTTTCAGTGATCCCTTTAAACTACTGCAAGAGGATACCAGGCTATGTCTGCTTCAAGACTGTAAGTGTAAACCCAGATAGACAATACAGCTGAGGCAACACCAAACCCAAAAATTCAAATCTTATGCCAGTAAAACTTACCTTAGCCCTTTAAAAATAAATGAAAAATCAGAAATGTGCCAAGTATTAATATTTCAGGATGATAAGGGCCAAAAGCAATTAAAATCATCCCCCAACTTTGCATGCCCATCTCATGACAGCTGTTTCATCATCTGCAGCCAAGACAGACTTGAAGACATTTGAAGAAATGTGATTCTAAATTATAATCGTCCCCCCCCAGCTCTTTACTGTTTGATCCCACCTACCTTATATTGCCTTTTAATATATATGACAAGGGATGAAAAGAATGAGATATCAAACAAGGGGACTAGGCTTCACTAGTTAAAAGAAACAATCTGAAGTAGCCCACACTTAATGTCAGCTAAACAACAGCTCTAAGCAGCATTTCTTAATATCAATAATTTGCAAGAAACTGAGATGCTTGGGTATTTGTATGGCCTAACATGGAAATTTGGGCATAAAAATTGGCAATCTAGTCTCTTAATGAGAACCTACAGTAAATGAGTGTCAGAGCAATCAGTAGGTCTGGGTCAGATGAACCACACGTCTCCTTTTAGTTTGCTATATAAACCACCTCTCACAGAACTCTTGAATTTTCCAGAAGATCATTTGTTTTTCATTTGTAACATGTATCCACAATAATTTTATTTGAATAACAGAATTGATATCAGAAACAATTGAAAAAAGTGGACAAAAGCAAACTCACAAAAGGAACTCTCCCGTGGACAAAATTCCAGTTCACATCAGGCAGTTCCCTGACTAAACACTCAATTATTGCCTTTACAACATGAAAGGCAGCCTACTTTGGCTCTTCAGGCCAAGAAAGGGTCTCCAATAAAAAACCCTCCTGCTTCCAAGTCTTTTTGTAACCTCTTAGCACCGACTCTTCTTTCCATTGCAGCTACCAGGATTGCTGCATTAGTAGAAAAGTTGTCACCAAAATAGGTAGGACCCATTACACAGGATTTTAATATTAAACTGTCGCTTTCAATTGCCCTGTGAGCTGCTGGTTGTGCCAGAACCTCACAGAACAGAAGCTGCATTTGCTTTCCCCTGAAAGACATCCTTAAAGAAGGATGCTGATACTCGTACATCATCTGAAGCTTCTGGATGATTCCCACTGGCAGATCTTACACAGACCACTCTGCTACAAAACCAGTTTGGAAGTGAGGCACAAGACACTTGTTAAAACTGTGGTCTGGACAATGATGGACATCTGTCTGTTAAGAGATCTTCTCCACTCTGCAGCAAGAGAATTTCACCCAACCTAGGACCAAGTTCACCCTGCAGCTAGGAACTGGCATAGGAAGGCTAAAGGAACTGTCATGAATGCTCTCTAGCTAATCCAGAAATATCAGGTGATGAGACACTTCAAGATATCACAATCTACCTGTTCAGGCAACTGAAATTATTCCCAGCAGCCAGTTCTAGGCATATTTGTTTCATAAGATATGGAAAATAGTAGCATCTCCTATTCAAACGTTAAAGTAAACCCATGGTTTCTTATGGCAATTTTGTTCTCTTATTCCCTTTAATTTCTTAATTTCTCTTGCTTCAGTTAATATATATCAGACAGAAACCATTCTTACTAAGAATCCATAACTTTCCTCATCAGAGTCTCAAGTTTCTTGTGATTTCAATGACTCTATACCACCATTTCACCCTGCTCTCCAGTCTCAAGTTTTACACCCTAACTTCACATCTTCCTGCTTCCCATTTTCCCACTCATGTTCAGGATCTCTTCTTTGCTGTTTTTTACGCTTTGGTTTTCCCCCATCCACTCCATTACCCACAAAACAATCTCAACATTTTCTTAGGCCCAGACATAAGTAACCTACTTTCAGTTGTAAAATTATCCAATCATTTCTCTATCAAAAAATATCCCCTGCAGAGAAGAATCTTGAATTTTCTAGAAAAGAAGCCCCTTTCTATATTTTTGCAACTGCTTAGACTAAAGCCACAGCCCAGATCTTTGAGCCAAATGCATCAGTTTGTATATCCATGCTGAACTGCAAACAGAATAAAGATGACAGATGGCTGGGGTGAATTAACAGATCAAGAAAGTAGAGATTCCCCAGTTATGGTCTGTGGAAACAAACACCCTTCATCACATATTGACTATGGTCGTCTGGACACAAATAAGGATGTTATCTGAAATTATTTTATAATCGGACTGCAAGTCCCACAAGCATCATGATAGCTACCATGAAGAAAGAACAAAACAAGAACAGATGGTAAAGAACTGCAGACTAGTTAAAAGAAATTTTTTTTAGATGGAACATTACCTGAATTTCTTATACTGGAGCTGTTCAATTTGGAATCTTTGATGACCAAGTGCTTAATCCAAAGGGTTGGTGCTGTGATTTCTGAAAGAGAAAAAATAACATCCTTAGAGAAACTACAGCAACTAGTAAATACACATGGTTGTTAATCAGACTCATATAATGGTTTGGGTTGGAAGGGACCTTAAAGATCATTTAGTTTCTACCCCCCTGCCATATGCAGGAACACCTTCCACTAGACCAGGTTGCTCCAAGACTCATCCAACCCAGCCTTGAACAATTACAGGGATGGGGTATCCACAACTTCTCTGAGCAACCTGTTTCAGTGCCTCACCACATTCACAGTAAAGAATTTTCTCCTTATATCTAATCCAAACCTACCCTGTCAGTTTGAAGCCACTAGCTCTCGTCCTGTCACTACATGCCCTTGTTAAAAATCTCTCTCCAGCTTTCTTGTAGGTTCACTTCAGGGACTAGAAGGTGCTATCAAGGTTTCCTCAGAACCTTCCCTTCTCCAAGCTTGACAATCTCTGCTCTTTCAATCTGTCTTCACACAAGACAAAACATTTGCTGCAATCGTGCCTTAACTGATCCATCATCTTTGTAGAGACAGGCTCATCTCCTGGTGAGATCTTCCACCTTTTATGAACCACCATTTGTAAGTCTTCCACAAGGCTATCTCATTATCTTCACATTCCAGGGAGTACCTCTCTGCTGGTAAAACATTTTTATTAAATCCCTCTATCCCCCACTTCCTAATTTCTCAAGTCTAAAGCCTTTCTCTTCAGGACTTAGAGATCTCAAAGATTATATTGTGTGCTATAGTATATTTTGTTTCTCCTGAAAGTACATACGAAACCCATATTTTAAATTAAGTCAATCCAGACCTTAAATATTACTCTAACAGCCCAAGAAAAGCTGGCCACAGTCAGTTCCCTGAAACAAGCAACAACAAAATCCAAAATAAATAGGCAGAGACATGAAGATATTTCTGGAAAGACTTGAAAGTCAGTCTATTAAAGAAACAAGTCCTGGTTAGAAAAGCATGTCTGATGCACTAACCAAGACATCTAAACATAAATTTGTGGGGAAAAAGTGCTTAGAGCACCTCCTCTGAGGTGTGTTATAATCAACTTTAAAACACATCAGAACCTGCCCTAATCCACAGAAATGATACAACCTCAGCATTTGACTAGAATTGAGCAAAGCAATACTAGATACCATTGGCTAGAGCACCTCAAGTGGCATTTTCAAAACTGATACTTTTTGAAAAAAAATTTAGTTTCCACAAGAACACACCTTAAATAGTTCCTCTAAGAAGTTTTTGCAAAAGTTTTTCCTACTCCCTTGTTGACATTTACATGGATCTGCTCAGCAAAGGGAGAAGCTAGTTGACTACAAGAGAAACTGATTATACATTACAAGAGTATGAAGGGAAAAAAAAAAGAATTTTCTCCTTCCTAAATATTTTCAGCAATGTTGATTGTAGGCATTATGGTAGTTGTGTTAAGGGCATTTTTTTCACAAGGAAATATTAGTTGAACACTGTTAAGCAAACTTTTGTTACTGTTGGAATATCAAAAATTGTCCTATCTGCAGGTTTCACTACACTATTTTAATGAATGGATTTATGGATTATTTCTATTTCTATTTCTATGCTTCTCCCCTTCCCAGCTCTTATCCAATGTTTAATCTGAAGTAGTTCTCCCAACAAAGGGCCAAAATCTGGGATGAAATTTAGCACTGACTCTGTACCATATGGACTGGATATGTCTATAGCTGAAAAAGGAGGGACAACCAAAGTCAATAGATGCTGAAGAATGAATAAAGGTCTTTAGAAACACAGTGGTGCACATCTTTCAGTGAGGTTGAAAGCTGCATAAAAGAATTCTGGGAAAAGAGGAGAAAGAAAAAGAAAAAGAAATTATTCCTTCGGAATCTCGCATAAAAATCGGTTTGACTTGGACATTATTTTTGAATACAGGCAAGCAACACAGACTCGTCTGAACAACAGATATGTGGACAGAGTAGATTACCACTGAATTAAGAGAAAGAAAAGGTGTTTAAAGAAGATATCTCTAGGAAATTACTACATCTTGCATATTGAAACTAAATAGAGGGTGAATGCAAAATAAACAGAACCTGTAAGTGCAGGAGGGAATACAATTTTTTAAAGCTATAGCAGGGATATTAATGAAACAGTCTTCAGCAGAGGAGAATCTTGTCCTAAGATTCACTATAAACACCTCTAAGACCTGCATTGTAATGATATGAAATAATTTTAAAGAGATGGCTGATTTATGATTTAAACCTTGGATGGCAGAATTTAATTTATCTGATTTACATTATCTCTGGCACTGCTGTCTTATGCCCTCAGGAAGGATGGTATGGAGTGGGAGGAGAACTTATGCCTGAAATGTGAATTTTCTTTATCCTCTAATGTAGGTGAAAAGATGAGACAGGTGAACCTTCGTCTTGAAAATGTTGAGGTCCAAGAGGTATCACACATTTCAGGGGAAGCTGAGTGCATTTAATGCCCTTTGAAAAGAGTCAGCCTCTTGTGTATTGAAGGTAGGCGACCAAAGGCAAAACATGAAAAAAAATTCACATTTTTATTGTCCATTCATGTTGCTATCAGCTCCACCCTGACTGCCTGACTTTGAATATATAGGCTTACAGGAACCCATCAGTTCTCAAACCCAATGAAATGGAACAGGATCTGGACTTCAATTCCTCTGAACATCTATGAAGATTCTAGACCTGATGGGTGAACTGATAACTCTTTTGCCCTTTTCTGTCATCTGCCATTTGTGTCAGACATGAAGTACAAGCTATTCCTCAGGAAGACCTAGCCAGGGGCATTGGGAGAGTATTCTAGTGAAGTATCGCGACATGTTTGCTCACATAGAATCAAGGGATTGTTCAGGATGACATCCTGAGGTGTCTAGTCCAACTTTCTGATCCAGATAGGGTCAGCTAGAAGAACAGATCAAGTTGCTTAGGATTTTAGAATCATAGAATATCCTGAGCTGGATGGGACCCACACAAATCAAGTCCAACTCCTGGCCCCACACAGGACAGCTCCAATGCTCCTAAGAGCATTGTCCAAATGCTTCTTGAACTCTGGCAGGCTGGTGCTGTGACCACTTGCCTGTGGAGCCTGTTCCAGTGCCCAACCACGCTCTGGGTGAAGAACTTTTTTCTAATATCCAACCTAATCCTGCCCTGACACAGCTTCATCTTGTTCCCTCTGGTCCCATCACTCGTCACCACAGAGAAGAGATCAGATCCCACCCCTTCTCTTTCCCTCCTGCAGAAGTTGTAGACTGCAAGGAAGTCTCCCCTCAGTCTCCTCTTCTCGAGGCTGAACAGACCAAGTGACCTCAGCCACTCCTCATATGGTTTCCCCTCAAGGCTCTTCACCATCTTTGTTGCCCTCCTTTGGACACTCTCTAAGAGCTTATGTCTTTCTTATAATGTGGTGTCCAAAACTGCCACAATATTCAAGGTGAGGTCACACCAGTGCAGAGCAGAGCAGGACAATCACCTGGACTGGCTGGTGATGCTTTGACTGAGGTACCCCAGAACACAGCTGCCAGAGTCAATCTGCCCCTGTGCTTTATCCAGCTGGCTCAGAAAGGAAGCACAGAATATCACTTCTCTGGGCCGTCTGTTCCACTACCTCATTGTCCTCAGGGTGACAAAGTTTTTCCTTATATTCAGTCCAACCATTTTGTTTCAATTTGTGACTGTTGTCTCTCAACATGCATTAATATGAAGAGCCTGGCTCCATCTTCTTGAAAAACTTCCCTGGAGATACTGGAAGGCTGCTATTAGGACACCTTCAAAGTCAAATGCTTATTACTCTTCCTGGTCTACCCACTTTAACGGACTGTTGGAGGCAGCATACTCAAAACGTAGTGGATTACACAAACCTTTGGTCAGGCACAGAATGGGTTTTCTTGTGCTTATTGTTACAACCACCAGTGAAATCTAGTTAGTCCTATTTTACTGGTAGAGATGACAAAAATATAGAGTGACAAACTCAGAAGAGGTTATTCATCGATGCATAGCTTGATTAATCTGCCTGTCAGTCTCTTCTCCCTAGTCATAAGGGACACCACTAATACAATAGGAAGCCATTGCATTAGTCATTCTCACTCAAAGTCTAGTAGATAAGGTCTTGCATAATATATTGTAACATTTGTGAGAGGCAATCTTTCATCACACAGTCCAAGTCCATTTATCAGACTTGAGTCCACCTACAAATCAATGTGAAAGTTTTTGATTGAAAATGTTTTTCATAGAAGAGAGGATAACACTTTTTTTCAGACTCTGCCTGTCCCCAGAAGGACCAGAAAAGGTCTGTTCACCATACTACTTCAAGAATTTTGCCCAGTTCATTTGACCAAAACGTTGAGCCTCTCCCAGAAGGAGCCTCTGAATAGGTTGTATTAATCACAATCTCATTCCTGCATTCTACTAGCGCATTCTTTCCTTTGAATATCTATGAGCCCCCTCTCAGGAGAAGACTTAAAGGTCAGAAGTTTGTGATTACAAACAGTAATTTAATACAGTATCAGCTTGCTGCCAGGAGGAACTTTCTTTTGATATAAACAAGAGATAGTCAGCATGGCTTCAGTCTCCTTTGTTTATTTGAGAATGCTTTTTGCTCTGAGGGTTTTGCCGTTTCTTAAAGTTCACAAGAAGATTCTTACAAATCTACGATCACTAAATGGAAGTGATAGGACCACAGCATCTTGCCATTAAATAAGCTTATTTTAGCAACAATAAAACCCCACCCCATCACCTATTTTTACAAGAAGGTATAAACCATCAACAGTACAGTACCACCTACTTTTGCTCAGTAGTCTCCATTTCTGACTTCGACCCAGTTTAAAAAAAAAAAGTGAAGTACAGCATACCACTATGAAATGCACAGGCTTTCCCTCACTGCCTTATGATCCGCAGTTTCAGATATGTCACAGAGTGGTTCATACTTTGGCCTATAGCTTTACTATAATGGCTGTGGGTTTAAACCTGCAGAAAACATGCACTACTTCTAAGCAATATGCAAGATATAAGCAGCTGCTACTAGGCCCGTTCATTACCAAAGGACCACTATCCCCACAGGTATTTATGTTTGTATGTGTAAAAGGCTTGAACCCTCTGTGATGACAGCCATTTTATCCTTGTATAAAGGCTTCCGGTAGACTGAAGTCTGAAATTCCCTATCCAAAATAATACAATTGCAAGATTGCCCGTTTGAGAAGGAAACTGCCTGGGTGGGCCATGAATCAAGTGGGCCTAGGACAATGACTTCATTTGCTTAAATAGTGTGTGCGTCAATGAAAGCAATCGCTAAATAAAGAAACCTCCCAGCAATTTTCATCCAAGTCAACATTCACAAGCTGTGGTTTAGCATTACCCTTCCCTTTGTGAAGCTGTAACACACTGCAGAGGTTATGAAACTCCCAGCATTAGCATCATGAGTGTGGAGACAGTAAAGGGGTAAGGACAGTCTAAAGGAAGTTGCCATTTCTGACTTGATACACCTTTTCTTATTTGCCCTGACACTTTTTACTCAAAGATGATGCCAAGAATCTGGTCAACTGGTGTTATTGTTGGATTCCAGAAGAGTAGGGAGGATGTAAAAGGATTAGGGAAAATGCCTGAGGTCCCAAGGGCACTGTGAAATTTGGATAACTTACGAGATTCACTGGTTTTTCTGCTTTGCAGGATAAGAAAGCATTTAAGCCATAAACCCTAGAGAAAAGGGAGAGGGAAGTAGCTTTTTTTGTTGTTATTTTAAGGGATGTTCTTACCTTCTCCATCGAAAATAGGCTGGGTTTCCATGGTAGGCGTTGGCTTCGAACCATCATCTGAATTGAGGGTTAAAAAGAACCGAAAAGAAACTACCATTATTGAGGTAAATACTATCTACTCTCCAGTACAGTTGAATGATTGGGATTTGTACATGGCCCGGCCAAGTCCAGAAGAGAAAGAAGACAGACAGAATGAAATCATTTTATGCTAACAGGAGTAACAGTTTACATAAAACATGCATCAAGCACTATCCTTAGACTTTAAAAGCCTCCCCCCTCCCTCCACAAACCATTGGTATTTGTCACCTGGTAGTTTCCCCTTGTTGCACTGATCAAGCAATCAGCTTTTTAGTTTCAAGTCAATTTAGTTTCACACAGGCCATTTCCTGAGACAGCAGAGGTCTGGAGATTGCTGTCTCATTGTGTCTTTCTCCTCATTGCTTTTGTTCAAAAGAAAAAGTCTTCTTCTGAAACTTACCTGTGTAGAACCTGGAACCAGTATTCACTGCAGAGCTGTTAGAAAGGGATGGTCAATAGCAAATCTTTTTTCTTAAAATGACTTTATCAAGGTGTTCTCTAATTGTAATGTGGTGACAATGTCTTCTAATTGCAAAATTGTGGGAAAATTACTTCTCTTACATTAGGTTTCTCATGTGCAAGAATGCTCCATGTCTTCTGACCACAATTCTTTCATAATTAAAAGCTTCAACCAAAGAAATGTTCCACAGGAAACATAAATCTTGATATTTAGAGATAGACCACAGAGAAAAGTGTTCAGTTTACAATTTCTTTGGCTTAGTACACCTATCCATCATATCTACAGGTCCAGCCTGGATTCAGGCTGAGTCTAATTTCCTCAGGGCACAGAGGGACCCAGATTTCAAGTCCCAGTTTGGAGCATCTTTACACAGCACTAGAATATTGGCATAGCTTTTACTGAGGCAAAATTTTTGACTGTGAGCAAGTTTAACTGTAAAAAGCTGCAAAGTCTCTTATTACAATGCAAGATTAGAAAATAGAATGTTGTTGGTAGTTAAACTAAAAACGAGAATAGCCTAGTGTATTAGGTTTGTGTGGCCAGCTTTTGGTAGTGGGGAGGGGCTACCAGGGTGGCTTCTGTGAGAAGCTGCTAGAAGCTTCCTCCATGTCCAGTAGAGCCAATGCCAGCTGGCTCCAAGATGGACGTGCCACTGGCCAAAGCCAAGCCAATCAGAAAGGGTGGTAATGCCTCTATGATAATGTATTTAAGAAGGAAAACTAAGTTGTTGTGCAGATATAATTACAACCAGAGAACAGCAGAGTGAGAATATGTGAGAGGAACAACTCTGCAGAGAGCAAGGTCAGTGGAGAAGGAGGGGTAGGAGGCTCCAGGCACTGGAGCTGAGGTTCCCCTGCAGCCCGTGGTGCAGACCATGGTGAAGCAGCTGTGCCCCTGCAGCCCACAGGGGACCATGGGGATGCAGAGATCCACCTGCAGCCCCTGGAGGAGACCTGCGCTGTAGTAGGTGGATGCCTGAAGGAGGCTGTGAACCTGTGGGAAACCCATGCTGGAGCACGGTCCTGGCAAGGACCTGCTGAGCCATGGAGAGAAGAGCCCATGCTGGAGCAGGCTTTCCTGGTAAGATTGTGGGCCTGTGGGGGACCTACAATGGAGCAGCCTCTGCCTTAAGGACTGCACCCCATGGAAAAGTGACCCATGTTCCAGCCATTTGTGAAGAACTGCCCATGGGAGGGACTCATGCTGGGAAACTTCATGGAGAACTGTCTCCCATAGGAGGGACCCCACAGTGGATCAGGGGAAGGACTCTTCTCCCTGAGCAGCAGCAGGAACTTGTGATGAACCAACCATAACCCCCATTCCCAGTCTACCTGTGCTGCTTGGGGGCAGCAGGGAGAGCTCAAAAGGAAGGAGGGGTGAGGGAAAGTGTTTTTAAGATTTATTTTATTTCTCATTATCCTGCTGTGATTTTGTTAGTAAAAAATTCAGTTAATATCCCCAAGCTGAGTCTGTTTTGCCCATGATGGTGATCGGTGAGTGATCTCTTCCAGACCTTATCTCAACTCATGAACCCTTCGTTATATTTTCTCCCCTGTCCAGTTGTAGAGGGAAGAGAGCGGCTTTAGTGGGTGCCTGGTATCCAGCCAGGGTCAACCTACTTCACCTGGAATTGTTGGAGTTTTTTTTTCCTTTTGAAATATAGGAACTTAAAACTTGCAATTTCTAGTAACTATTTTTTGCATGTGTTATGGGCAAAAATGACACTAGGCAAAGTGGGCAGTAACCCAAAATGTAAACTTACACAGTGAAAATCTGTTGGAGGGAGGAGTCCATGCCAGAAAAGTTAGGCTTGCCTCCATCTCCATGGCCAACAGATGCACAGGGCAAACAATATTTGGAGGAAAGGTACATGGGACAGAGGTAGAAGTAACTGCCCTTAGCCTTCCCTTGTATCAGTTCCATTCACAAAAGTAAGAGACCATTGGAACAGGAAAGAAAGGGTAGAGGGATAAAACAAGCTTGTAGACTTTTTTTACCCATACCTGTATTTGCAGTTTTATAAAGTGAGCAAAAGTCTGAACACCTCTTCCACTTCTCCTTAATTTTATGCATTTCCACATAAAGTAATCTAATTCACAGAAAGCAAAAACATGCTGATAATTCCATTTCAACCGCAGAGATACACTGAATAAAGGAGGTTGACAGAAATGAGTGAGAGATGCCCTGTTCTCATTTTCCCTCTTCATCATTGTATTTGGTTTTATGCTTAACTGCAAACATAACAAAAAATACTTGGAAGAAAAATTCTTACCATTCCTCAGTCAACTCTTGTTCTGAGCTTTCCTGTTATTGGGCATTGCCAGTTACATGGATAGGCAGTACTTTTTTTTAAGTTTGAGCAACTGACTTGGAAAAAAACCCTGAATATTGTTTAAATTACAAGGAGAATGATTCTGCCCTTTAAAAATCTTTGGATAAAAGTAAATAGCTGATCTTGACTTTTTTGTTAGAGTAGGCTGCTCTGCTTCTGCAAGATTCCAGAAACCACAACTATGGTTTGTTATTTATTTAGGATGACACTTTACACTGTAAAAAAGCAGTGAACAGTATGTAATTAGCATGATTGGTTTTACAGATTGAGAAACCAACCCAAAACTGCTGAAGACACTCATAGAACAATTGTAAAGTGAATAATTCTTAAGTTATACAAAAAAGGAAGAGACCTGACATAAAAAAAGACCAGTATGATAATAAGTTTCTTCTTATTGTTCTCATGAATGCTTCTGCACCAAGTAATTACAGAATTGCTTTTCAGATTTAAAGCAGCAACTCAGAAGCCAACAGTGGGAAAAAATTAGAAGTGGATTTGAGCCACAGCACTATGTGAACTTCGGCAGAACTAAGGATACTTCAGGTTCAGGGGACTTCTTTTAGATTTGTGTATGTTAGAAGAACACAGCAGCAATTACAATTTGTGAAATACATTCTTCTTAAAGAAAGAGAATTTTGCAGCAGCTTAGGTACGAAGCTAGGCATTAAGCTACTGAAGCGTATTAAATAAACCCCTCAGTTTAAAGCTACTGTTTAAGATAATCTCGGTAAAATGGCTCAGTGAATTACACAATCATTTCCTTACTGGGCTACTAAGACCAAATTGTCACTAAGTCCACATTGTAGCAGCACCCAGTACAGTATTAAGGGTTTTGCAAATATAGGGAAGTATAATTACTCCCCTGTTGTTTAAGCAAGTACAGTTCTTTCATCACACATACAAGAAAAAAATGCAATAGACAAGAGCCCTGTAATTACATTCACCATTTTTCAAAAATCAAAAGCCAAGGATATTTCTGATTATTTTTTAAAGGTCATGAAATAGTCACATAAAAGACAAAAATTGCACTTCATTAAAAACACCATGCTCACTTCCCAGGTGCCAGCTTCTTACTCTGAAATTACCAAATCTTTTTCTTAAACTAGAGAATTCTCAATAGGTCTCAGTGTTTCAAGCTAGCTTATGGCAAAAAATTTCACTGCTGTTCCCATTGGGCAGAAAAACCACCCCAACACTTGTCTACTCCTATTTGATTTTTCCTCTCATTCAGTACTCTGTTCGTCACACTGAACATTTGTTCCACTGGCCTGTTGGCTCCTCCTAAACAAGGAATAAGTTCTATTTTACATACCTGAAAATTTTTAACAAACACTATACAGAATATCTCTTCTTGGAACAACATTTTAAAGCTACAAAACTCTTCGGTTAGTTTCCTTTTCCTAGGGTACACTTGTAAGAGTTAAACAAATTTTTCTGGCTCAACTGCTGTCAACTTTAAAATGGTACTTTTATCTTGCCACAGGATAAGAGTAAATAGGCAGATCAAAATGAGATTCCGTAAGTTATTTGCACATTAAGACACCATGGCTATAAACCAGAAGCCCACTTGCGCTACTGCTATCAGAAGCTCATAAGCAAGAACAGTTTTTATTGCATTGGTCTAACGATAACTCAAAACAGGGACAATTACTTGCATGTCCTGATCTACTGCTAGCGCTAGGCAAGAATTTTATACTCTCACCAGGATTCCCCTCCCTTAGCCTTATCCTTGCAGAATAACTAGCAAGGATCCACATCTGAAATGACTGCAGCATACACTGGGGTTGAGGGACAAGGAGATTCAGTTCATGCAAAAGACAACTGTTAAAGTGATCTTTTTGCTCTGAATGACAAGCTCTGAGGCCAAGAGCAGCTCTTTATGTCAGGAGAAAACTAAACTCCCTGACGTAAAAAAGCAGTAATTACTATGAAAAAACCGTGAAGTAACTGCCTGCTGCTGTGAATCAACTTTCTTACCTCAAGCCACGTAATGGAAGCCAGATAAAGGGGAAAGTTAGGAGATAAAAGTGATGTACGGAAGGTTGAGGTTGCTTAGGAAGCATATAGGTCTTGGTCTATTAATGTGATGATGCAAGTATACAGAAGACTTTTGCAGTGGGTGTATCTTCCTGGTTAGGAGATGTGATATGGGAAGTTAATTTTGTGTTCTCAGTGGAATCCATGAGACAGTCTGTAAACATTTCTTCCATTTTGAAGAGC